GCAGGAGGCAGTCTGATGAGACACTGCGGAAGGGGGCAAGGGGTGAGCCAGACAGGGCAATGAAAGTGCTTGAGTGGAAACCCATAGGAACAGTCAAAACTTGAGTGGGCAAGGCCTTGAGCAAACTCATTTAACTTTGTGGAGGCAGCTCTTCTGGGGTGGGGGGAGGAGCTATTATTCCAAAGCTTGGCCTCCCAAGGCACTTCCAAACTGAAGTTTTTCTGTGGTTCTTATACATCAGTTAGAGAGTCTTTGATCTCTTAGTTAATGCTATGGTTGGTTCTTCCCAAGTGCTTCAGTGGTTCATATGGTTGTTAGACAGTGGTGAACTACTGAAAACAGACAAGTGTTGTGATTTTTAAACTTAAGGATTGGACACATTTTTATGCAAGCTGCAGATTGGTATTGCTTGCATAGAGCTAGAAATACAATTTAATTCCAAGTTTGTGTTTTTGTTTTTGTTTTTTTTTTAATTTATATCACTAATTTGTTTTAAGAAGAAACTTTGAATAGTCCAGACAAAATTGTGCATATGTGCTACCCTGAGGGCTACACCATTTTGTTCACTTTTCTAACTTTCTAAAAAGATACTGGAATATAAAAGCTATGAATTACAATTTCCTTTCTAAATTTAAGCAATTTTTACCTTGTTTTTACATTAATTCTTTCTGTTATTTAAACCCTCTCAACAGCCTTCTTGAAGTATATCCAATTCTGGAGTCAGTACTCTGATAGCAGTTGCATCTCTGTCAAATATAGAAACAAAATAATTAGGGTATTTTTGTTGATAAGTTTAAAGTTGGGGAGGGGGTTTCTTTTGCCCAATGTAGTGCAGTAGGATCTCCATTTTAACTATCTATATGCTGTTACCAGTGTGTCTCATTGCAAGTTGTTTGTAGATGTAATTTTCCATTCCATAATTGTGTATACAGATTTTAAGCTATGCTGCAGCGCAGTGCATATGTTGATGGCAAGCACTTGAGCAGTGCCCTTTACCCTCTCAGTGATCCGTCCTGTTGTGGAGTCAGGTGGGTGAAAGAGATGTGTCTAACATCAAGATCCACGTGAAATTTCAAGTTGTTTGAAGCATGACAGCACTCAAGTTTCAGAAAATGACTGTAAGAGGCTAGCACGAGTGAAACTAATTTTTCTGGTTTTCTGAAGAGAGTTTCAGGCTCAGACCCAGGGGCAAAAGAGACCCAGCTTTCAGCCTATACTAATCCTTTGTTAACACTGCTCAGTAGTAAAAGGTTCAGCAGTTACTGTCTATTAATACTAAACTATGATGGAACTACCAAGAACTTTTTAATATAACAGGTATAAATCTGGATTACTTTCAGTGACTGCTAAAGGATCTCCAGTCTTGCTTAATGGAGGAAACAACAATTCTCAAAATGTTTACCTGTAACAGTAATTTTTTCAGCTATTTTACTGGGCACTTTAAATACATGAATAATTTCACTGATAGGTCCCTGAACCCTACATGCACGATGTGGCATATCATATTTGTAAATTTATATTTGAAGTTTAATTTGTTGCTTAAAGAATTTGTGTACCGACACTATTTTCATGGATTAGACATTGTAGTTTTGCCAACTCATACTTTTTCTAAATATGTAAATAGATTATTTCCAAAGCTCTCAGATTCTGTGCATCTCTGTAGTACTGAAGGCCAATGTCTGTCTGGCATTTGGGCATTCAGTGACTGCATTTCTAATAAATGAATATTTATATGCATAAGTTACTTGATTGATATATTTTTCAACTGGATCTCTCCTCAGTTATTCCATTATTAACTTCCTGATCTTTGTCATAAAGTACGGAGAGAAAATTTTTATATTTCATTTTAGGCAAAGTTATATAGCAACCATCATCTCTTGGTTAAGAAATATTAGTGGAGTCATATGAAACTTTTATACTGTCAGTAATCTCGCTTTTGTTTGTTTGAATCTTACTGTTTTACTTTAAATATTGTTATTCAGATATGAACATCTGTCTTTTGCAAGTACTGTTTTTTGCTAATACAGAAACTCTCTAACGCTTCGATCAAGGACTTTCTTAAAAACAGATGGTTTGTGGAAAACAAAAAGTAATCAGTTTTGACTACTGTGGTAGTTTAGATATCATGCAGACTGCATAAGCTTTTCACGAGGGAGCAGGAGGGAGGGAGACAAGTGTGTAAAGTGCTTTTGCTGAGTGGTTGAGAACTCTTCCTTGTTTACTGGCTTGATGAAAACTCAGTTTTGTTTTGATTGTCAGGGTTCCGGCCAGCACCTTCTGTCTTTGCCCTGTCTAGCCAATGAACTGATTAGTTCTTACAGCGTATCATAGCATTAATAGCTTCCTGAAGTCTGTTTTGCATAAACAGGGGGTACTGATACACAAAATGGGAGAATGATGAGTCCTTTCACTTATATTTTCAAGGGGGCTGGAGGGATTTTATGTGTTTGTGTTAGGGCATTTGTATGTTTATTTTAAGCTTTGAGTCTTAAGGATTCTGTGAAAAGCAGTTATTTTTGGATTTTGTATTTTTGGAGTTTTAGGATTCTGGCATTCAGAATTCTGCTGATTAAAGCTCTTGCCAGATCATATGTATCAGTATGTAGACCGCATAGCCTTTTCTGCTTCTTGCTTTGAAGATTTGTCTTATTTTTCTTACATCCAACTCGGTTTTCTGTGGTAAAAATGCTGAATCCTTGGAGAGATGTTTGGAGGACAGCACTATGAGGTTATGAGGATGAATTAACTTAGAGGTCTTCAGATAGTGCTTTACACACAGTGGAGATCTGTCTTAAGATGTCTGACTCCACTATGTTTAGCTGATTTACTAGAAAGTTTTTGATTCTTGGGATATCAGGTGGGTTGACAGAACATACTTGATTACAAAATGCAGCAAGTTCTTAATCCATCTCTTGCAGATTTATTGCTGTTATATTTGGAAACTACAGAAACTATTAGACATTTAAACAATACATTGTCTTAAGCATTGTCTGAGTGATCAGAGAATAATCTGAAAAATACAGATTTGTAAATTTACCTGCCTTAAATAAAATTACCTGCATACTTTCTGTGAAGTAAGGAAGCTGGATTGAGGAATGGAAGTGAGTTAACTGCACATTACCATTGTTTAACTATTTTTGTCCTTCAGAGGCTCACTTGTTTGCTTTAGTTTTTTATGTTTGGGTTTTTTTAGGTCTGCTAAAGCTCAGTAGTTTAAGTAGGTCTCAATTGTTTTGTTTTGTGTATCACGGTAACAGTTTTATCAACTGAGTATTGTCAGAAGTATAAATTGATCAATGCCTACTGTAGGATACCTGTCCACACGTATATAGTGTAAGCTGTTCTCAGTGCTGTCTCAAGGATGAAGGAATTATGCTAAATCTTCACTTCACACTGACAGAGTTCCTGAGGAGGAGGCAGTCATTCTTTGTGCCGGACACTGTAAGGCTAAACCTCTGACTGTGTAGGCTAGGGTTCCCAAATGCAGGATTGCTTGAGTACATTCTGCTCCAGGGTTGTCACTGTCACTACTACTTCCTAAACTTCCCAGCCCAGGGAAGCTGTGGGGTAACACCCTGTGACCAAGCAGCTCGTCATCTAGGGCAGGTGCCTGCATGGTGGTGCTGACTGCAGCTCAGGGAAGTGCCTGTCAAGAGGCACTTGCTGCTAATCAGGAAACAAGGGTGTGGAAGTACTTTCTGAGATAAGTATCAGGAAATGCTCCTACAGAATACCTGGCAGTAGTTTGTTTACAGTTTCTTGGAAATTCTTACCTTGTGTTACATTCAGTTGGGAAAAGCAATGTGTTATAAACCCTGCAATATATATTAAACTATACCTTTTAGTGCACTGAGAGGCATCTGTGCTGTATACTGGAGTGGAACAAATCTCAAATTCCTTTTGGTTTGTCCAGTTGCTTCAATTTTTATCACGAGTTTCAGAAGCAGGCAGAACTTTTGTCCAGTGAATAGGTTTCTGAATTTCGCCTTGCTTCAGGGGGGCTGAATTCTTTCACGGGTATATGGCCCACCTTCTTGAGACTTGGCTGAACATTGTGCCAAAGAGGGAAAGTTGGAGACTGTGTATTCCATCTGAAGAAGCAACCACTTGGGTGTCTTGGAGAGTTAGGGCCTATAAGGAAATTGATCTTTTGCTTCTCCCCTTGTATAAAGCTGCCTTCTCCAGGAACACTAGCAACAGCTCTATTCATCTTAGCTCTTCATGTTCCTTTCTATCACTTCTGATATTAGTTGTGTGCTTGATTTGAACAATTGATTTGCATAAATAAAAACCTTTGTTACTCTTAGACCTATGCTGTTCTCAATACATTTGAAACATAATAAACTACTCAGTTCTTTTAATATCTGAAAGGATGAAACAGTGTGCTGCCTCAGGCTATTTTACTAAACCTAGTTACTTGGGTAATAACAAAATTGTGTTTCAAGCATAAACTTTTACTTTTGGGTTGTGTTTATGAATCTGGCAGTATATTTTCTGATTTCATCATACATTGTTGCAAATTATTTTAAGATTTACATATCCAAACGTAAACGCCTCAAAAAGTTTTTTTCCTGCTTTAGTTTCTCTATATTTTATACCCGTTGTTTACCTGTAGTTAAGAACAATTAGATGTTTTAAACAAATCGTGCGACAGTGTGGACCAGTAGCAGCAGGGAGTGGAGAAACAGGCACTGCTAATTGGGTTTATGAAATCCATAATTTATGGCCCAATATTTCCTTAACAGTGGGAGATAAGATATGAATTCAAGTTGCTTTCTCTTTCAGTTTGATAAGTCGCCACATCACTGTTTTTATAGGAGAATGCAGATGATCTACCTTTAGCTTCAGGCAAAATAGGGAAGAGAAATGTGGGGAAAATAAATTCAAAGATAGGTCAAAATTCTGTAAGAAAAGTTTGCATGTTGTTCCAATCATGTCTCATTTACCTGAAAAAGAATATATTTTACTAATATTAACAAAGTCTTATTTTACTTTCACAGATAAATTTGAGCAGTTTTGGGCAATAAATCGAAAACTCATGGAGTATCCTCCAGAAGATAATGGATTTCGATACATCCCATTTAGAATTTATCAGGTAGGAAACAATGAAAAAAAGATGCTTTTACAAAAGACTTCCACTGAGGTGTCATATATCATAATTTGTTTGTAGAATTACATGTTCCCTTTTCTAACATTATGGTGAAACTTTGTATGCACATCTTTGCTGGACCCTATGTTGCATGAATTAACAAACAAAACAGACTATGTTTATTCTAACAGGTAATAACCATTCATCACGTTGTCAGTGTGTAACATTTGAGAATGTGTTAAGGCTGGCATAGATGATGTTTGTCTGTTGTTTTTTTTTTTTTTTTAAATAAAACAATCCAAAAATCTAATTATGTTATTAAAAAATAACTGCTAACTATGAAGAGTGCTTTGGATGCAAAATGCTGTCTGAAAGATCACAGTCAAACACTTCAGGAGCAATACTTTTCCTTCAGCCACTGTATAGGCCTCTTTTCTTGTTATCATTTTAAGGTGAAAGTAATAGCAGAGATCTTGTATGTAGTTCTTACCTTTGTCTTTTAATTGTATACCTTACAATCCAATCCATAGCTTTGAATGTTGGGTTTTTTCTGTTTTAGTACACCAGCACTCAGTTTTTCCCAGCAGTTTATTTGGAGACATTCCTTGGAATCTTTACAATTTTTTTACATCCCTTTAGTTTTTATAACATTAAGGTCACAATGAAGTTCAGAATTATGTGTGATTAAGAGCTTGTACAAAACTCATGTAGCCTCTCTCCAAATTAAACAGTTGTGCTCTGTTGGAATGTTTTAATCTGTTTCTGCTTAGGTTTTACACCTGTAGCTATCAAAAGAAGATCCTTTATTCATGGTACTAAGTAGTCTGATACTACTTCATAACAGGTTATAATGACCATAGAAACCTGCACAGTCTTGCAGTGGGACAGAAGTAACTTCTAACGTTACATGTAAGACATTTACTGTCATAATGAAACTTTAGATTGAGAACGGAAGTCAGTTATTTTGTCAGAGATCATAGCAGATGGCAAGGTTTGTATAAGTATCAAAAAGCATGTATCAGGAAAAGTAGTACTCACGGCATTTTGTTTGGCTTATGACTAAGTTGTTTGCTTGTTCTCTGATAGGTGTGGGTTTTTTCTACGTCTTTTCATAGAAATCGCATAAATGGGTTTGCAAAATGGAGGTTTTGCTGCTTGAAAGGGTTGCAGACCTTTAGGGCATGAGGGAGGCTTTCATTGATATCAAATGATTTCATGATAGTAAAGCTTTAAAAAAAAAAAATCTAATTTGGTAAAATCTTTCCTTTAACCAGTAATACTTATCTTGATTCTCATTATCTTTTCAATTGGAAACCCTTACTTGCTGTAGTTTAAACCCAAAATATCTAAGAATAGAAGACTAAAGACAAATAATAATGATGCTGAGACAGCCTTTGGGAAGGTTGGTTTATATTATTTTCAGTAATGCTGCTCTTAGTATTCGTAAATATTTTTAGGTTTTTTTAAAAAAAGTGGATGCAGGTGTTTCTAGTTTTTTCTGTTTGGTTTGTTGGTTTGTGTGCCGATTACAGCTCTATATATTTAAAGGAATTTTCAGAAAGTCTTAGGAAGGGTGAGATTATAATTTAATTCCAAACAAGGAGTTAATTCCTGCAGTTTTAATGGAATTTTACAGTACTTAGTGACAGACTTTCATACGTAGAAGTAACTGATTCTAAAACGTTCTTAAGATATATTTAACTCCTATTTAACTACCCTGAATGCGTTTAATTTCCAATAGTGGTGGTAGAAGTCAGCTTTGCGTTCTAATCACTTGCTTTTATATCCCTACGTAAATACCTGATTTAACCTGGGTTTGTATTGCAGTGGATGTTTATTCCCTGTGTGTTGTCACATGGTATTCTTGTAGATACGTAAGGATATATGGGTGGATAGTAGGAAATGGCTAGGCATTGCCTTCAGTGGGTAGACTTCCTCCTCTTAGTCTCCATACCTTCCATTACTCCAAATTATTAGAAGAAAATTCTGTGAACAGAACTGTCTAGATTGTTTTTTGTCAACATGAAGTGGATGAATTTGTTTTCCTACAAAGAAATGTATTAAATTATGACATCAACTAAGAAAATTAGTCTTAGTAGCAGTTAAATGTGACTTGGCAAAGTTGCTGCAGAAAAAAAATGCATTTAATAAAGTGATCTGATGTGTTTTTCAGTGAAGGATTGATAATTTTAAAAACTCAAAAGCTCTTTCAATTGTAAAGCTTGTCTATTAAAATACATTTCTAAAGAGTAATATGAATCATATCTCCTGTGGTGACCAAATCTGATGGAGTGTGTGGGAGAAAGAGATGGCAAAAATACGAGCATTGTACTTGGGTAAGTCAAAACTAAACTAACCACAGGTAATTTTAAAAACCCTTGTCCAGCACCTCTTCTAAGTATAGCAGCTAAGATTGGACCAGAATCCTGGTATCTGTTGTAGATGATGAAGAAAAGGGCGGAGTGTCACTAAGGATCAAATAGTTTGCAATTTTAAGTTAGCTAAGATATCTTGGAGATTTTATTACCAACTGTCAAATTCTGTTAACTGTGTCGTATGGAACTTACGCCAGAAGAAACTTTGACTTAAGTGGAAACTTTTTCTACCAGAGACAGTTTAAAAATAGGGATTATATTTTTGTGACACTTACTTTGATGTGTAAAAAAAAAAAAAAGTTCCTCACTTCATCCCTTCAGAGGTGTAAGCTGCTTTGTTTTCACTTGACAGGTGCACAAAACCTTTTTTGCCTTTTTGTCTGATAATACTGTCGAATAGACTGCTTTTTGCACTTGTTCTTTAATAGTAAGAGAGAAAATAATAGTAATGTTTTGAGTATATTCTGAATTTTTCATGTCCAGTACTAGAGCTAGTTTGACTTGTGGAATTTTCCCGTGTGTTTTTAAGACCAGCTGATGTTGCACAGTCTAATTGATCGAACTATATGACTGATAGATGGCAGGAAGTTTTCATCAGTCTTTGTCTCCGGGCACTGTGACAGAGCACATTAGTCAGGCACTGGAGAGAATTCTCTACGTGCTGATAGTGACTACTCTGATGAACCTCTGCCTGCCATCCTACGCTGCAGATACGAGCACTCTGAGTCTCGGTTATTATACACTTAGATTGTACTCATCCCTCAGTTTTGGTGTCTTGCACTCTGCCCATGTCATGCTCACCCACTTGCTCACTCTTCCCCGTCAATCTTCCTCCTTTCCTCTGGAGTCTGCCCTACGAGTATATTTGATTTAAAGTTGTATATAGCATTTCATTCTTGGGAATAAAATGACAAAAGTATGGGAAAGAAAATGCATGAAAACTCTCCATGGCAAGTTTTGAGTTTAGATTTCTAGAGTTGCAATTGGCCTGAGGCAGGTTGGCTGTTGTGTGTTTGCCAGCCCAAGATGATCTAGGATTGTTTGTTTGCTTGTTCCTTTATTTGGGTACTGGAAAATGCCATGGTATTGGAATGAGCATTTCCTTTGCTTCTATTTTTGGAGGGTTTTGAGTAGTTTCTTAATTTTATTCTCTAATTACATAGTAGGCCTTAACTTTCAACAGCTTTTCCTATCCTAAGTCCCTTAAGATGTTATGATTAAGTCGTACAGTCACAAATTGTTATGACGTTTATCTTCCTGAGTGACACGAGTGAAATTCTCCATACTTATATGTCAGTTGGATGCATTATTTTGCTCTTTCTATCAAAGTTGCAGTATGGAGATGTCTAAATAGACTTGATTGTTTACTGTTACCTGTCCTCTAAAAATAGCAAAGTGGGAGTGGGAAATGCAATATTTTAGGACATTATTAATATCTGTCTCATTAAATGAATCAGAAGCTCCAGCATGGCCACTTCCAAGCAATTGAAGGGTTTTTTATTCAAATTCCCACACTAATTGGCAGAGCTCAGGTAATCAATTGCAAAACCCATTAAAAGTATGCAAATCAGCAGCACAGTTTGGCCTGTGTTATGACAACTATTCAAAAGCTGATCAAAACAGATTGTTTGGAAAGATACTGGGTCCACCTATAAAGTTTTCAAGTTTTGTGTTAGTAGGTTATTAAATTTTTCTTTTGTTAAAAGTTTCCATTGCATTTCAAGCCTGAATTTGTCTCACTTGAGTTTCTAGATTCTGTTTTGCCTTATACCACTTTAAAGTCATCTGACTTTCTGACCTCCCAAGTTCACTTACAGAATGATTTCAGGAGCTTCAGTTTTCTTTGGTAAGCAGAATCAACTGAGTTCTTTAAGCCTCTTGCTTACCACTGCTGAAGTTGGATTTTTAGTCATTCATTTTCAAACTCTAGCTGGTATTTTGATAATTCTCAAGATTAGTGTTGAAGTTAGGGAGACTTAGAGGCAAAATGTGTAGTTGATAGGATATTAGACCAAAAGTACTTCAAGCACTGGTGGAATACTTGAAACTTCAAATCTGAAAACTTTTATGAAAGAAGTTGAAATGTAATGACTCTTCAAGCAAAAGAACTAGAAAATCTAGTTGACCTGTCAACCTGAAGAGGGCAACACAACACAGCAAGTTTCAGCTTTTGTTGTCTATTGGAAAATGCTCTTGAACAGACCTGTGTGCAGTACCTTATTTAACTTTTTTCTTAGTTATTCAAAATTTTTTTTTATGAAGGACCTGCTGAAAACAGATCAATTTCTTTATTAAAAACTTCCTTTTACAAGGAAGAAGTTTGAGTAAATAGGAAAATTGTGTGAAATGGTGATTGATTTTGTGTAACAGCTGGGCTCAGATGAATTTCTGTGCTGAAGAGAAACAAATGGACTCTGGTTCATCATCAGTTGAATACACAGAATGATTTATTCTAATAACTGATGGTTCAGCGCTAAAGAAACAGAAGCACACTTTCACCGGTTTTAAATTACTTCAAAGCTCTATGGATGAGAAAGTTTAAAAGCCTGGTTAGGTAAATCTGTTTTCCTAGTGCCTCATAACTGGGGGGGGGGGAGAAACCTGTCTATCAGATATTGCACCTGGGCAGCA